CCGCCGACAAGTGGAGTTTTGGGACGACCCTCCTGGAAATCTGCTTTGATGCCGACGTCCCGCTGAAGGAACGAACCCCTTCTGAGGTGCCACTTTAGGCCATTTTAGGCCATATCCTGCCATTTTGGGCCCTATCCCACCATTTTGGGCCATATCCCACCATTTTGGGCCCTCTCCCACCATTTTAGACCATATCCCGCCATTTTGGGCCCTCTCCCACCATTTTAGACCATATCCCGCCATTTTGGGCCATATCCCACCATTTGGGGCCATATCCCACCATTTTGGGCCCTCTCCCGCCATTTTAGGCCATATCCCGCCATTTTGGGCCCTCTCCCGCCATTTTAGGCCGTATCCCGCCATTTTGGACCCTATCCCGCCATTTTAGGCCATATCCCGCCACTTTAGGCCCTCTCCCGCCATTTTAGACCATATCCCGCCATTTTGGGCCCTCTCCCGCCATTTTAGACCCTATCCTGGGCCGAGGCCGGCTCTGAGGGCCGCTTTTCCCGGTTTTCCCGCAGAAGGAGCGGTTCTACGAGAAGCGGCTGCGGCTCCCGGAGCCGTCGTGCCGGGAATTGGCCTCGCTCATCTCGCAGTGCCTGGATTACACCCCCGGGGAACGACCCTCCTTCCGCACCATCCTCAGGGATCTCACCCGGCTCCAGCCCCACAGTGAGGGACAGGAATGGCTGGGATTGCCTGGGAAAAGGGGGGGGATTGCCTGGGAAAAGGGGGGTGGGATTGCCTGGGAAAAGGGGGTGGGATTACCTGGGAAAAGGGGGAGGTATTGCTTAGGAAAAGAGGGGTGGGATTGCCTGGGAAAAGGTGGATACAGGTTCTGGATGGGGCAGGGGGAAAGGTGGGAGAGAGGGAAAGGGGAAAAGGGGAGGAAAAGGGAAGAGGAGGAGTGAAAAAAAAGGGAAAAGGGGAAAGAAAAGTGGGGGAAAAGAAGAGAAAAGAAAAAGCAAAAAAAAATGGGTGGAAAAAGGGAATAGAAAAGGCAAAGAGAGGGGGGAAAAAAGAGAAATTGGTCCTTTCCTCCCAGACCTCGTGGACGTGACGTCGGTGAATCCTGACTTCCCGGTGTCGGATCCCACCGTCTTCCAGAAGCGGTACCTGAAGAAAATCCGGGAGCTGGGGGAGGTCAGTGGTGCCCTGAGATTCCCACCGGGAATTCTGGACCTTCAATCCCTAATTCCACCCTTCAATCCCTCATTCCACCCTTCAGTCCCTAATTCCATCCCTCGCCCTCCTTTCCCTTGGAATCCTCCCCCCTCCATCTCCCGCCTTCCCTGACCCCTCCCGGCACAGGGACCCCCTTCAACCCTCCCCTCTTTCCTTCCCAAATCCCCAATTCCCACCTTTCCCCGCTCCAGGGGCACTTTGGGAAGGTGGGACTGTACTGCTACGACCCCACCAACGACGGCACCGGGGAGATGGTGGCCGTGAAATCCCTGAAATCCGGGAGCAGCCCCGAGCTCCTGAGCAGCTGGAAGAGGGAAATCCAGATCCTCAAGACCCTCTACCACGAGAACATCGTCAAGTACAAGGGCTGCTGCAGCGAGCAGGGTGAGGGGGGCCGTTCCAGGCGGGAATTTTCCGGGATTGGATCCGCAGGAAGGTTAAAAACCCCAATTCCCAGCGTTTTTTGGTGGAGAATCCCCGTCCTGGCAGGGATTTGGGGGGTCTCAGGGGGGTCCTGCTCTTCCCACGAGAGTGGGGGGACACTGAGGGGCTCAGAGTGAGACATGAGGCTCATTCCATGTGGAATTTCTCATTGGAATTGGGAGTGGATCCGGTGTTTGTTTGCGGAGAAGTTAAGAACCCGATTCGCGGCTTTTTTTTTGGTGGGGAATCTCCATCCTGGCAGGAATTTGGGGTTCTCAGGGGGGTCCTGCTCTCCCCACGAGGGTCCCACTGCTCTGTTCCAGGGGACAAGGTGGTGCAGCTGATCATGGAATACGTCCCCCTTGGGAGCCTCCGGGAATTCCTTCCCAAGCACCCCCTGAGCCTCTCCCACATCCTGCTCTTCGCCCGCCAGATCTGCGAGGTGGGAATCCCAAAAACCAGGGAGATTCCCAAAAACTGGGGCCGAACCATCCCAAAAATGGGGGTGATTCCCAAAGAAATGAGGGTGGGCATCCCAAAAACGGGGCTGGTTCCCAAAAACTGGGGCTGGGCATCCCAAAAATGGGGGTGATCCCCAAAAAAATGGGGGCTCTAAATCCCCCCCAGAACTGGCTCTAACCTTCCCAAAATATCTCTGAACCCCCCCAAAATGTCTCGAAACACCCCAAAACTGGTTCTGACCCCCCCCAACTGGTTCTGAACCTCCCCAAATGGCTCTAAACTCTCCCAGAAATGGCCCTAAATCCCCCCAAAACTGGTTCTAACCCCCCCCGGGCCGGTTCTAACCCTTTTCCCCCCAGGGCATGGCCTACCTGCATTCCCTGCACTACATCCACCGGGATTTGGCCGCCAGGAACGTGCTGCTGGAGAACGAGCACGTGGTGAAGATCGGGGACTTCGGGCTGGCCAAGGCCGTCCCCGAGGGCCACGAGTACTACCGGGTGCGGGAGGACGGGGACAGCCCCGTGTTCTGGTGAGATCCCGGGGCCGGGACGGGCTGGGAGCGATCCCGGGGGCGCTCCGGAGCCTCTGGAATTCCCGGTGTTCCAGGTACGCCCCGGAGTGTCTCAAGGAGTCCAAGTTCTACTACGGGTCCGACGTGTGGTCCTTCGGGGTGACCCTCTACGAGCTCCTGACCCGCTGCGAGCCCGGGAACAGCCCCCCCGCGGTGAGGGACGGGGAATTCCCGGGAAATCCGGCCCACGGGGGGGGAGGCTCGAGGTTTGGGGTCTCCAAGGTTGGGGCGTCACCGGGATTGGGGGCTCCAAGGTTGGGATACTCAAGGTTTGGTGTGTCCAAGGTGGAGATTCCTAAGGTTGGGATACTCAAGGTTTGGGGATTCCCAAGGTCGGGGGTCCCTGGGATTGGGGGCTCCAAGGATCTTGGTGGCCGAGGTGGGATTTCAGTGGGGTTTTTTTCCCGGCAGAAATTCCTGGAGCTGATCGGAGCCACCCAAGGGCAGATGACGGTGCTGAGGTTGGTCGAGCTCCTGGAGAGAGGGAAGAGGCTCCCGATCCCGAAGGATTGTCCGTGTGAGGTGGGAAAGGGAGGGAGGGAAGGGAGGGGGAGAGAAAGAGGGAAAGGGGAGGGAAGGGGAAGAGTGAGAGAGGAGAGGAGGAAAAATAGGGAAGAGAAAAATGGGGAAGGAAGGGGGAAAGGAGAAAAACAGGAAGGAGGAAAAGTGGGAAAGAAGAAGAGGAAAAGAGGGGAGAGGGAAAGAGAAAAGTGGGAAGGGGAAAAGTGGGAAGAGGGAAATTGGAAAGGGCTCCACATTCCTGTGGGGAGGAGGAGGGAGGAGGGAAGTTGGGGGCCCTTTTCCAGGATATTTCCCTATTTTCCACCCCTGTTTTCCCCCCAGATCTACCGGCTGATGAAGAACTGCTGGGAAGCAGAAGCTTCTTTCCGCCCCTCCTTCCACAACCTCATCCCAATCCTCAAGAACTTCCAGGAAAAATACCGGGCTCAGGCCCCCTCTGTCTTCAACCTCTGCTGAGACCCCCCAGAATTCCATGGACCAGGGAGAAAACACCCCCCAAAACTCCATGGATTGGGGGGAGACCCCCCCCAAAAAAATGGAGAGTGGGAAGACACCCCTAAAAATTCCATGGAAGGGGAAGGACATAAAAAAAAATTCATGGATGAGGGGACAGACACTCAACAAATTCCATGGACTGGGGAAGAACACCCAAAAAAAATGCCCTGGATGGGGGAAAACACCCCCAAAAAAATGCCATGGATTGAGAGAACACCCCAAAAAATTCCATGGAGAGGTGGAGACACCCTAAAAATGCCCTGGATGGGGGAAAATACCCCCAAAAATTCCACGGACTGGGGGAAGGACACCCCAAAAATTCCATGGATTGAGGAAAGAGCCCAAAAAATTCCATGGAGGGGGGGAAACACCCCTGGGAGGGGCACACGGACTCTGGATTCCTGTTTTCCCGGCAGGATGAGGAAATTCCGGGATGTGGAGACGGAGCAGCACCAAGGAGGGGGGGATCCTCCCCCTCAAAAAATTCCAGATACTTCCCCCCCCAAAATACCAAACACTGTGAATGAGACTGTGGGGACGAGGATTTTCGGGAGAAGGACTTGGATTTATGGGTGTGATTTACGGATTTATGGAATTCTGGCCTTATTCCCGACCCCAATTTTAGGGGAGGGTTGTTTTTTGGGATGGCAGGGGCTGGATCTCCTTCTTTCCCACCAGGAATTTGGGGCCCCCTCCCAAAAAATGGGGGTTCA